ATACGAGCTTATGAAATGCGTTAGGGAGAAAGAGGCCCACCAGTGAGCTTCAGGGCTGAGTTGTTTTTGGGAGCCGGGTCTACCTGGCCTGTGGCCAGTGCGATACAGTACTCAAAATATCTCAGAGGTTTTGGGGCATGTTTATGACAGATCACTTGCGCCAAGGGCTGGCTCTGACACAGGAGTTGGCTAAGCCAACGAGCCGTCCTTTTATATTGTTGCCTACCTTCTCTTCCTCAACTGGGCTGTGTCCTGAGGGGCAGATTGACACACATTCTGTTTCTGTCATAAGCTAATACAGATTTCCTTGTTCGAGTGAGAAACGAGAAATTTCCGTGCTCCACTTTGTCCTTTCTATTCTCTTAAGTAGCTGTTGGCCTAATTTGAATTGTGCCTTCTTACCCTCCGGAATGGACTACTCTTTTGTAAGGGGGTAGGAGGCTGAATTAGTGTTTCTCACCCTTGGTGAGTTACAGTTCTTGCCTGATATCTGTTTCAGTTGAGGATCAGTTCTTTGCAGCTAAAGAGATGACATGACTTCATTGAAAAGCCCCATCTTTGGGATGGTGTGAGTTGGAAAGAAACTCTGGCTGTGGTGGCTGAGTTGAAATGGTTGTTAAAACATTGGATTCTTGGATGTTGTTATCTGCTGTAAGGAACATAAATGTGTAAAATTGCCCACTGATTGATCCAACTAAAGCCTCCATGGCACAGAGAGCTCAAGAAGCCCCAGCAGAACCAGTAGTGCTGTCTGTTTGCTAAAAATCGGGGAGGTAGCTGTAACAATCTTTGCAAGTTTCCCTCTTTCTTTGAAGTCATGTGTGACCCACTTTCAAGGCTCTGCTCCAGAGATTGGGGGATCTTCTGGCACAGTAGAAGAAATGGCATTGAGGTCTACAATGGGAAGGAAGAACCTGGCAGGAACTTTTCACCAGCTCAGTAGAAACTGGCTCTGGGAGTTCACCACCAGATTGAAATCCTAGCTTTAGCTCCCTGTGTTTAATACATTTTTGCTATAATTTCTAAGTCTTTGTTTAGAGTACCTGGATCATTTGAGGTGGTCTTGGAATATCTGAAGTTTTCTAACCTATTCTAAGTAATGTCTGGAATATAGTATAGAATAGATTTATTTTTGTCCCCTGTGAGTAAAAGACTGCTCTCCTATTGGTAAATGCCAAGTCCTCAACTGTGAGAAACTTGTTACTGTCAATGACTGCTCAAACTAAGTATGGCAGAATAATATACTGTATTTGTGGCAAACAAGAATTTTAAATGTATTCTCGAATTTTAAACTTGTAATTGAAAAACAATAATTGGCTGAAATTCTGTTTGTGCAGCTACAGTGTGTAAGACTAATAATGTAATTGTAGTGTTGTGGGGTGTTTTTTTTTTAAATAAAATATTTCCAGTCACCCTTCTGCCCCCTACAGGTCCCTAGGCTCCTGAGGGATCCTTTTCATAATAGGAAATTGGTTGGGAGCTACAGGATGAGGAAGGGTCCTTTAATTTCAGAAAATCACTGCCACGAGAATGACCTGATTAGTAGTGGTCATTTTTTGAAATTAAAGATTTCTCCCTGTCCCACAGCCTCCAATGGCTTCCTCATGACAAATGGTAGCATTGGGGGAAAATTGACTCTCCTCTCTCTGAAAAATCTCTGCAACTAATGATACCATCAGCCTTATGCAGCGTAGCTGTAGGAACAGGATTTCAGCCAAAGTGGATTTAATAGCTTAACTGAAGTATTTTCATTATTTTAGTTCTGCTAATCTTGTTTCATAGCACCTAAAATCTTACACTTTAGCCTCTGGATGTAGTGTCTCATTTGGGTTGTAATCTATTAAAGTAAATCTATTAGTCTTTGTCATAGCTTTGTGTTTTTTTATTTTTGTTTTTTATTTTATTATTTACATTTGATACTTATATCTGGTAGTCCACAGCTGCGTTGAATTAAAGAACCAGCAACTCTGTTCTCTTTATCTCTTTTAATCAGTTAACATTGGACTGGATATTAAAACAATTTTTTCAGTGTGACTTGGATCATTCCTACTGCTGAAATCTTATGATTATCGAGTGCTGCTGCAATGTGTAGATATACTGCCAGTGTTGGAAAAGTTTACTTTAAACTGACATTGAGCTGTTTTGATTCTTGAATATATTATATTACTTTATATGGCCCTACTTTTTGCAGACTACCTGCAATCCAATTGTATCTTTTTCTCATTTTGCTTTTTTATTTGTTCAGAAAGTAAATAAATCAGACTGTAAATTTTTATGTCCTCTTATTTAATGTGATTTGTACTTTGCACTCTATAAAACCATACTTAGTCAGGCATTATTCAGAAGGTTGATACCGTGTTTTCCCAAAAACAAGACGGTCTTACATTAATTTTTGCTCCAAAAATGCATTAGGACTTAATTTTCAGGAGATTTTTTTTTCATGTACAATAATCTAAATTTATTCAAATACAGTCATGTCATCTTCTGGTTGCTGCACAATGGTGGAGGGTGGGTTTCATTTAACTGGGGCTTATTTTTGGGATAGGGCTTATATTAAGAGCATCCTGGAAAATCATACTAGGACTTATTTTCAGGTTAGATATTGTTTTTGGGGAAGCAGGTGTTTCGTCAGCAGTTAACTAGTGAAATAGTGTAAGGAAGATCTACCCGTGTCACTCGTGCGAGCCAGGAGGTGAGGCTGAGGAG